TCTTGGCTCAGCCTCCCAAGTAGCTGGGACTACAGGCACCTGACAGAACACCCTATTTTTTTGTTGCAGTTGTCATTGTTGTTTAGCTGGCCCAGGCTGGGCTTGTACCTGCCACCCTCGGGGTATGTGGCCAGTGCCGTAGCTAATGCGCTGTGGGGGCCGAGCCATTATTTATTTATTTAAGATGGGAGTCTCACTCTAGCTCAGGCTGGTCCCCAACTCATGAGCTCAGGCATTCCGTCCACCTCAGGCTCCTAGAGTGCTGAGATTACAGGCGTGAGCTGCTGCACTCAGCCGAAAGGGGTGGTTTCTGTTTTAGAAGAATCACTTTGGTCCTGGCATAGAAAAGAGACTGAAGGGACAAAGGGAAAAGTGGTGAAGTCAGCCGGCATCTCCCAGGTGAGAGGTGGGGACGTTGCGGACCAGGGTGGTCGCAATGGAGGCTGAGAAGCTGGAGAGGCGGTTGGATTTGGGTTGTGTATGGAGGCAGAGCCCAGCGGATCTCCTGACAGATGGACTGATGGGCATTGACCATGACTCCATTTTAGTTTGTACCAACTGGAAAGGTGAGCTGCTTTGCATCGAGATGAAGATGACAGCAGTCCAAAGGGGTTTGCAGAGGGAGATCAGACTGGCTTTAGAAATATTAAGATTGAAACACCCCTAGGCATTGAGGAGGCAGTTGTCTACCCAGGGCAGTTAAGGAGAGAGGCCAGGACTGGAGACAGAATTGTGGCAGTTGACAGCAGACAGATGGCACTGAAAATCAGGAGACCTGGCCCCTTGCCCAGGATAGGAAGCTGTCCACCCAAGGACTGAAGTCTAGGGCAGGTCAAAGCTGAAAAGATCAGGGAGGCAGGAGGAAAGACAGGGGTGTGATGTTCTAGAGACCACATGAAGACGGGCGTTGGGAGGAGAGAATGATCAACGGGTAGGTGGAGGTGGTAGTCAGACACTGTTGGTGAGCCTGGATAGAGGGGTCAGAGGACTTGGCACTGGTATAGCAAGGGTACTAGTGACCTGCAGGGACGCTCAGGGCGAAAGCCTGAATGGGGGAGAGAAGAGGGTAAGCTAGAGAGAGTGAGAAGAGAAGAGGCACCGAGCATAGACAACTAAATGTTGAGAAGTTCACAGCAAGAGGGGCATAAAAACGGACAAAATCATGGAAAGTCAACAGAAAAGAAAAACACATGGTATTTAAACGTATGGAATGATGGCTGTCTGTAGCTCAGTGGGCAGGCACTGGCCACATACACCAAGGCTGGCGGGTTCAAACAACAATGACGACTGTAACAACAACAACAACAACAAAATAGCCAGGCGTTGTGGTAGGCGCCTGTAGTCCTAGCTACTTGGAGGCTGAGGCAAGAGAATCATTTAAGAAAGAGTTTGAGATTGCTGTGAGCGGTGACGTCGGGGCACTCTACCGAAGGCAACGCAGTGAGATTCTGTTTCTAATAAATAAATAAATAAATAAATACATGGAAAGGCGCTTAACTTCATAATCATATAAATGCATGTGTAGGCAACAAAGAGATGTCATTTTATACCCATCAGATTAGGAAGGATTAAAGAATTAATATGACAGTGTTGAGAAAGGCAGAGAGGCCAACTCTCACTCACTGTTAGGACTTTAAGGTGGTACAACCTTCCTGGATGGAAAAAATGCTGTTACACTTCAGCCTGGCAGTTCTTCTAGGAATTTGTCCCAAAGGATAGAGTCCTTCGAGCACTCTGTACAAGTACATTCACAGCACTATTAATTGTATTACAATTTCGAAGTCCTGGAAGTGATCCAAATGTCCATCCGCTGGCCTTACAGTGCAGCCATCAGAAGAACACAGACAGCTCCGTGTACAGATGTGGAGTGGTCGTTATGAATTGGAAGATGAAGATGTGGCACAGAGCTGAGCATACCCTCTCCTCTCACTGGGGGCAGAAATGAACTCCTACATACGTGCCATGTAGGACTGGAAGTTCACTGGGAGCCCACACAACAAACTGGAAGTAGGGACTGCCCTGGTGAGGGGGACGGGGGCTGAAAGGTGGGACAGGTAACTTTTACTTCCAATCCTTTAGCACTGTTTGAAATTCTAACCATGCATGTGCACTATCTGAAGCATTAATTTTTTTTTTTCCTGAGACAGAGTCTCACTATGTTGCCCTCGGTAGAGTGCTGGAGCGTCACAGCTCACAGCAAACTCAAACACTTGGGCTTAAGCGATTCTCTTGCCTCAGCCTCCCAAGTAGCTGGGACTAGAGGTGCCCACCACAATGCCTGGCTATTTTTTTGTTGCATCTGTCGTTGTTTAGCTGGCTGGGGCCAGATTCAAACCCGCCACTCTCCGTGTATGTGGCCGGCGCTGTAACCACTGTGCTATGGGAGCCGAGCCTGAAGCATTAAATTTAAAATAAAAACTTTTACATTGGATACTTTGGTAATTCATAAGCCTGATGACTGGGTTTTCATGCGCATGTGTGAGATGTGCTGCCCACAAATCTTGTTACCATGTCCGCACGTTACCCGTCTGACATGAAAAAAAAGAAAAAACCTTATACATTGAGGTCATAGAATGCAGAGCTGGAGAAGACTTTTGGTTCATCTAACGAAGTGGTACCCACGCCCAGTCCATGGCTGGGCCGCATAAGCATCGCCTGGGGGCTCATTATGGCAGATTCCCAGGCCCAGCATTGATGTGCAGACTCAGTAGCTGGTGGCTCTGCTATAATCCAGATTACAGCTCCACGACTGTTCGGAAACATAGGAAAATGCAGTGGGCCCTGTGTTCGCCATGATGTACAATTCCCCGCAGAAACTCAGGGCCTTCCCATAGCCATTTTCTCTTCTATATTGATGGAATCTTTAAGCTTTTTGGCTGGACATGGCCACATGGAAATAAAGACTACATTTCCCAGCATCCCTTGCATAAAATGAGGCCATCTGACTAAATTCCAGTTAATGGGTCATAAGCAAACATGATGTGTGCACCTTACCCAGAGTGTGCCTTTCCCCTCCTATATCTCTCTTATGCTGCTTGGACTAGCTGTGAGCCAAGTTGGGCCTTGCGGATAAGGGCCATGCCCTAGGGATGGTGAAATGGCAGACAAAAGGAGTTGGGGTCCTGAGTGGTGCACAGCAGTCACATTCGCTCTGGAACATCTCAGGGAATTAAAGAAACCACGAGTTGTTTAAACCAATGTTTCTCAACCTTGGGTATACATTAGAATCACCTGAGAAGCTTTAAAAACTATACTGATACCTGTCCTAGCCCCCTAAATTTCTGATTTACTTGGTCTGGAGTATAGCCTGGGCATTGGATGTTTAAAAAGCTCCCAGCCAAGGTTAAGAACCATAGGTATATGCCTCTGGTAATTTGCATTTCTGTTACACACATTTAAACTTGTATCCTGTTGTGTCTAGCTCCTATGGCTTTAGTTCCTAAAAACTGTGTCTTGGGGAACAGTCTTACTACTTTTACTGAACAGGTCTACAACTCTGGAGTCAGATAAGACATCTCCTCCTAAGGATCTATTGTTCAGCCCTTCATTGGGATGAGGGCTAATCAGGAGGAGATTCACAGAGGCTGTGATCCTGAGGCTTAAGCTGGAAGGAGATTCCAGAAGGTTAGGGTTAACGTGAGAGAGGGAGTGGAGTGAGGCACAGACAGACAAGCTGGGGAGCATGGCAGCTTGTAAGAAGGCCAGAAGTCTCTCCTTACTTCTGAACAGCAGAATGGGCATGTGGGGTTCTCAAATAAACTTGGGGTACATGAGCCTCAGCTGGGTCAGCTGGTGGAGGGCCTTGTATGCTGAGCTCATGAATTTGACTTTGAACCTGAGCATGACCAAGAGCTTTCAGAGGATGTTAAGTAGGGAATAAATAGCAGGACCAGATTTGTGTTGCGTAATGGTCTCTGTCATTGTGAGCATGAGGTGGTTTAAGACTGACTGGATGTGGGGAGACTAGTTCTGAGGTCCCAGGAGAAGGGGTAGTGACCACTGATAGCAACCTGGGTACATCTGAAATTTTGCTAGATTTACTTCTGATTATCTGCACTTGTACTGCATTGAAACCAGTTCCCCTCAGCCTGTGTTGTCCAGATTTTAGGAGGAAGAGGTACATGGCCTCTCAAACAGCCCCTTCTCCTTAGTAGTTGCTCAGGAGGTAACAGCAGAATGAACCATGGCCTAGGTGCATTTTATCTTCTTAGTACCGGCCTGTCTGTCCTCTAATCAGTCAGGTTAGGGCTAGTACCAGAGGAGGGTTAAAATAAATCTAAAATTTCACTGCAATTTAGCACAAACATTGATGCACATATGAATCACTTAGGGCTCCCATTAAAACACGGATTCTGATACAGCAGGTCTGGGTGGAGCTGAGATTCTGCATTTCTGCTGATGTTCCCAGCCCTGTAGCCACTATGAAAACTAGGCCTGTGGTCCTCAGCTTTGCCTGCACTTTGGAATCACTTGGGAGCTTTAGAAAGTCCTGATGACTGGACCCCACAGCCACAGGCTGTGGTTCGTAGGGCTGGAGTATGGCCTGGATGTTGCCTATTTTTGTTTGTTTGCTTTTCCTTTCTCCTTTGACAATCTCATGTTTGTCGCCTTCAGTAGAGTGCTGTGGGATGAGGCAGCTTTTAAAATGTTTCCAGTATTCTAATATGTTGTCAAGATTGAGAAGTGGTACCTTAGAATCACCTAAGAAATATCTTAAAAAGGTATCTTCTAGGTCCTTAAAGTTTTTGATTCTTCAGGTCTTGGAAGTAGCAGGGTGCTATGCAGTGTTCCTGAAGTCCCAGCTCCTAGGGAGGCTGAGGCAGGAGGATTGCTGGAGCCCAGGAGTTACAGCCTGCAGTAAGCTATGGTGCCATCTGTGAGGGCACTGCCCTCCTGCCTCGGCAATATAGTGATATAGTGAGACCCCCATCTCTAAAAGTACCCTGTGGAGACGGAGGTTCTGCTGTGGGTGAACAGCACAGGCACTTGGAAGATGGGCCCTGGGTCCTGAAGATTCCAGAGTACAGTGATTGTGGCTAAGACTGAGTATTGGGACTGGATGGAGTTGACTGAACTTCCAGCCTCATATTTCCGGGCAGCCCTGTAACAGTGGGTAAACAATGGTAAACACATTAAAAACAAAAACAAAGGCCAGGTATGGTGGCTCATGCCTGTAATCATATCTAGCACCGTAGGAGGCCAAGGCAGGTAGATTGCTTGAGCTTAGGGGTTGGAAACCAGCATGAACAAGAGAGAGACCCCTTCTCTACTCAAAATAGAAAAATTAGCCCAGCGTGGTGGCTGGTGCCTGTAATCAGTCTCAACTACTGGGGAGGCTGAGGTAAAAAGATCTCTTGACCCCAAGAGTTTGAGGTTGCTGGGAGCTATGATGATGCACCATGGCACTCTACCCAGGGTGAGGGAGTGAGGCTCTGTCTCAAAACAGAAGCAAAAACAACCCCCCAATTCCTTTACTTGCCTTTCCCACTAAGGTTAATATGAATATATATCTGTGTGGTTATTTCTAAAGAACACATTCCCAGAGTAGAATTACTGCTTCTTGGGAAATTAGCTTTCAAATTGAGACAGATACTTACGGAAAAGTTCATAAAAATGCATTCAAATTTGTATTTCTAACAGTCTATGAAAGAATTGTTTCATCACACTTTTGCTTAGGTAAATCTTTATAACTTTTGCCATTTAATAGAAAAATGGGATCCATTGTTACTTTCATTTACATTTCCCTGATGAGTAGCCAGATCAAATTCTTTTCATTTTTCAGAAAACAAAACAAAACAAAAAAAACCTTACAGTATTCACCTTTGATTTGCCTGATTACACCCACTGGGGGAAACTCCTTAGACTGGGTAAGCCTCAGTTTTCGTCTCTGTAAAATGGGAGCCACCGTATCTCCCAAGGTTTTTGAGGGGATTAAATGAGATCTTGTGACTTAGTATGCAGTATGTGTTTCAGGAACATTTGCCTTGGAAACCCACCCTGGAGCCTACTCTCTGCCGCCAGTACACAGACTGGGCTGTAGTTGCTGACGAGGGTTGAGGATGTTGTGGGGTGGACGGACTATTCTGGCCCACCTCCACTTCTCCACGCACTCCCATCGTCCTTGGTACTCGTGTACAGCCAGTCCACCTTCTCCTTGTCTCTCCTGTAGAAGGACCTGACACCAGCGTTGGACTGACTTGGTGACACCCAGTTCTCCTCCATCCTTGAGGGATGGAACCCAGAGCCACTGTGGGCCTCTTGCCTTGGTACCTGTGTCCCCACATGGCCAGCTGAGCCCATCTTCCCCCATCTGGATCTGTGCAGTAACAATTCCTGCTGCAGGCTGCACCACAGCCTGAGTATCCATTCTACATCCCCTTATCTTTCATCTCCAAACCCACTGGCCTTGCTGCCTAGGAGGGAAGACTGGCTGGCTAACTCCCCAGTTGACCTGCAGCCTAGGGTCAAAGGCCTGGAAAAAGGGAGGCCTTCTCAGTTCTGCCCCACCCTTCCATAGCAGCCCCAAGACCCACAGATAACAAAGGCCATGTCTTGAGTACTTTAATAATAACTGCACCTTCATATTTGTAAAACAGCTTCCCCTCAGCCAGCAAATGTCAATCTAGCCCTTGTCACAGGCATATTTATTTGATGTCTATATTTTTGCCGAAACATAATAAAGTTTTATATACTGCATATTTTAATATGCACTTGTTTTTCTTTCCTTCTTTCTTTGCCTCCTGTTTTCTTCTTTTCCATTCCTTAAGTAACTGACCATAACAGCCAGAGGTTTTTTCCTTACCTTTCTCTCTGACCGTATCATCATAGATTTGCATATATGCACATACCATAGAACCTGTATAAGTTGACCAGTCGAGGGATTGTATCAAACTGGTCAACATAAGGCACTGGGCCTACTGTACTGATTCCTACATGTCGTGCGTGTCCAGTTTATGAAACTAGTTCAACATAAGGAGGTGGTTAATGTAGGAAGGTGGCCAGCTATGCAGGTTCTACTCTTTAGCCCCGAGATTTGTGTCACTTTTTAATCTTCACAGTAACCCTACACTGGATTGTGTCCACTTTAAGAGTTAAGGAAATTGAAGTTGTGATTTCATTTTGTCTCTATTTACTGAATTCAGAAAATATGAAGATGTATGTTGATCTTAACATCTTCATATTGTGCTGTTTGCAGTTCAGGAAACAGATCCAGAGCTGAAGGAAAATGGCAAACAAGTAAGAAGTAATGTGACGGGCTGTAATTCCAAAGCCCGGTCTTGTCACCTGTCACTTCTCTAAAATGCCCTCTGGATTGGAGAGAATTCAGAGAAGTAGGAATGGTTATGCTAATAAGGGTGGGAGACTAAGTAGATTATTACAAACTTCCTGTTATGTTGCTGTAATTATTTTAATTATTGCATTGTTTCCTCACATGTAAAATAGCAATGCAAATATCTGCTTTGCAGAGGTCCCAGTAAAGTTAAATGAGACCATGTCGAGTAAACTATAAAGCAGAATACAAATATGAGATCTC